TCATAGTCGTGCATGCCGTAGTCGTTAGACCATTGACCTCGCATCCCTACAAAGCCGGGACGGAGCACGCCGGGTTCTCACCGGACCAGGCTCTCACATCACCAAGCGCGAAGCGCCGTGAGATATTCGGGGGGAGGGAGGGATGTGGTATATTAAAAAAGGGCTAGCAGCAAAAAAAAAAAAAGTCTGTTGTGCTTCGGTTGTTGATTCGAGCTCTGATCGAGAAATCTCAAAAGCGTTCAAGCGTGTGATGGGTAACCAGGCTAGCACGGGAGGCACTGGTCGCACACTAGGCCTTCGAGCACAAAAGTGTAGAGAGGCGTACAGCAGTACATGTGGCACCAATGGTGGTGCGTAGCAGCGTCTANCGCACACTAGGCCTTCGAGCACAAAAGTGTAGAGAGGCGTACAGCAGTACATGTGGCACCAATGGTGGTGCGTAGCAGCGTCTATGTGTTGTTGGTGTCGTGTGCCCCTCTCCGCGGAAAGAGAGGGGTAGGCCGCTGCTGCTGCTGCAACCAAATGTTGATCTCTCCTCTCGCTTCCTCCGCCGATAGCTAACAGCAGCAGCGTATGGCACACCCTTCTCCCGCCGTCTCGCCCTCGCTGTGGTCTGTGTCTCCCTCTCCCTGTTTGTCCATGTCTGGCTCTGTGTGTGTGTGGTGTGTGGTGTGCGAGGCTATCTGTCTTGGTACAAAATCAAACGATGCCTCCTCTCGGTGTTGCAAGGGGCCAGAAACTTCTGTGCTTCAAGTTGGGTACCGACGCCGCACTATCTCGACGCACCGAGCACGAGTTGAAAAGGTAGCAGCTCGGGCAAAATATTACTTGTTGTGAACACGTCTTAGGTTGCAATTTGGTGCCGAGATGATGAAATGGGCTGGAATCTGCTGGGTAATATATCGAGGCTGGTCACAGACAGACAGACAGACAAACGGACTTACTGAGCCCGTTTTGCCCCCCCCCTCTAAACAGCTTTCTTTTTTAAAACAAAAAGCGTCCCTATCGGGCCACTTATCTTAAAAAAGAACTATTATGAACATGTGTTACGTACAAAACGTAAGAGGTTTACGGGTTGTATGCCGCTAGATCTGCAAGGGTGAGGGAAGCTTGGTGTGTACAACAGACCCACAAGAACATTTATGTTATTCATATAAAAAACGAACTATAAATTTATATATACTGAGTAATACTATGTACCGGGTACATAGTATATACCCTAATATATAATTTACACCAGGTAATATACCAAGGACTCCTAAAATGTAAGACTTGTTCACCACTTTTCAGTCAAGTAGTAGCATTAAATATTGATGATGTAAGTGTAAAAAATATAAAAAATGTAAGATATAAAATGAAAACATAAAAAAAAAACTTGTGATGTATGTATGATTCTAGATTGCCAAGTATACATTATACACTATACAGTCATGATGGCCCTGCTCGACTTTCTTGCTTTCTGACTTTCTGATTCGTCTTGTCCTCCGGTGCGTGTTCTGTGATGAAGGGGGGAAATCATCAGCAGGTTCATCAGCAAAGGCGCCGAGCTTAGCAGCTCCATCAACAGGCGCACCGAGCTCATCGTCGCTCAAAAGTTACATGGTGCCGATGATGACCAAACAACGGAGGGAAGCGGCCGACCGCCGTTTCGTCCTCTGGTGCTGCATCGACCTGAGGCCGGAGCAAGTGCGGATCGACCAAGGCTTCAAGCGCTTCTTGGGGTCTCTTTCCCCCGAGTACGTGAAAGCCACAATGGCCAAGAACACGTTCAACCAGATCTTGGACGAGGTTTACGGCACGGTACTCTCATCCGTCGTCGGCGAGTTGCGGACGGTACGAGAGGAGAATCTCGGCATAGGGTATTCGGGACCCTTCCTTGATGCCCAACTGGATCTTGCAACAGCGGGCGGCGAGGAATACATTACCTTCACCGTAACGTTCGTGAAGAAGGGCAACTCGGACATCACCCGCATCGCGCTGGCGACACGAGCGTTTCCCGGCAGCCACACTGCCGAGGACATCCAACCCTGGATTGAGAAGGTGAGGCGCTTTCGTTTTTGCGTTCTTTTGAACCTACGGTACTCTGTTGAAATGGTGTCTTAGGAGAACATTTTTTTTTTTTTTCTTGATCTTGTCCCATTCGTTGTCACGCCCCGCAATTCGCAGCTCACGCTAGAATAATTTTGGGGATTCATGGGCGAGTCTGTGGTGCCATCGGACGTCTTCCTCGCGTTCACGGTGGATCAAGTGAAGAACATCATCAACGCGTGTACGGCGTTGGGTGTACTGTTATCGAGTGCAACTGCCACCGCGTCAACACCGCAGTCGTGTGGGCGTTGGCATAGCCGGGAAAGGGAAAAGAACCCAACGATGGGCACACTCATGAAGAAGCTGGCAGCGATGGTTGGTGTTTTCAACCACTCCGCCGTCAACAACAACGAGCTGAAGGAACTCCAGAGGCTGGAAGAGGGCTTTTCGCGCATCTACGAGCTCCTCAGACGAAACGACACAAGGTGATTAGTGATTTGTCATTTTGTGATTTGCGGTTTATGGCGAAATTGAAACAACAAATAACTGGACACGTCCACCCCCTGTTCAACCGGCCCCGCCCCCATTCTCCGCGGGCTGGCGATGTTCCCTTTTGCAAATTCTTGTCCCCGTCAAAAGGTGGACCAGCCAGTTCAAGATGATGGATCGTTCCCTAGCCTTGAAGAAGCCCATCTCCGAGTACTTCAAAAAATACCCCCAAAACGAGCGAAAGCTGACACTGAACGAATGGACCATCATCAACGAGGTGTGCAGCCTCCTGAGCGACGTTTCTGAGGTCACCATGCGGACGCAAGGGTCCGTGGATACCCACATCGGCCAGGCGATGTTCATCATTCACGAGCTGAT